CCCTTCTTCGGGTGATCCTCACTACCCACATCTTCTTGATCTCCAAACTCGGTATGTGCATGCAGCCCACGATGTCCATGAATAGCGCGACCATGTCGTTGTTGCTCATGGTCATGTTGGCGACAATCTTCTTGAGGGCCGTCTTCTTCTGGGAGAAGTTCTTGTCCTTCTTGTTGCCATTGTTGAGTTCGACACGGAGTTCCGCAACTTTGCCCTGGGGAGTGCGGAGGTTTTGTAAGCGCGCGTTGTCAAAGGTGTAGGGTAGAAACATCATCATGGCAGTGGATGCTCATAGCAGACAGACAGGCTGAATAGGAGAACATGGAATTGCACAAGTCGGAGACGTGGATGGCACGAATGACGAGACAGACGTACCCTCGCAAAGAGCTTCGCATCTTGGCCGCCCTGGCTCATGTTGGGCTAATGATGTCGCGTATGCCAGCTGGGCTGTCCTCCCAATGCATGTGCCTGTCGTAGCACAATCAAGATAACCTCCCTCGCGACTTAGCGCCCCTCCCTTGCCGTCTCGAGGAAGCGTGCGGGGTTCGATGGCTGATTCGCTGGTCTATCGGCTTCGTATCGTGTCGCGCATATCGGAGGAACGTGGAAGAGGGCTGGAGAGGCGTAACGACAGGAATGATTTGTGATGTTTGGGAACCGTAACTTTTAGGAAGCCTGCCAGCGGTCAACACGGAGGAGGGGACGTGCATCCGCCAAGGCCGCCATATGTGGAGCTCTCCAGAGGCCCGCTCCGCAACACCACGAGCGAAGTTGCAACATCGTGAGACCCTGGACCCTGGCCACCGCAACAACATCTCAGACTTTGATAGCCGATACTTCGCCATCATAAAGACGTCTCATGATGTCGAAATCGCCTCCACCGCCCCCGCAGTGGGTGCTCGACCTCAACTCGACGCCCGCATCCAAGCCGAAGAACGCCTCGCTCTCAGACCCACCGGGCTACACGGCATCTCTCACCAAGAAGGAGCGTTCTCAGGCATCAAAGACGCAGAGGCAGCCCCCGACCCCGGAAGAGATGGATACACTCAAGATGAAGAAGGCGTGGGAGGTCGCCATCGCGCCCGCAAAGCAGCTGCCCATGAACGCTTTTGGTATGTCATCTGACAGGAGACTCTGTGAGCAGACGCTAACAACACCAGGCATGTACATGACAGGCAACACTCTGCAAATTTTCTCCGTCTTCATGGTCTTCACGCTCTTCAAAACTCCCGTTCTCGCTGTACTAGGTCTCCAACGCACCTTCGCTCCCTTTGAGACTCCCGGCACATCTGGTCGACTACTCGGTGTCAAGCTTGTCTACATTGCATGCAACATGCTGATGTTGGCGTTGGGTATATGGAAGGTTAATGGCATGGGACTCTTACCGACAACAAAATCAGATTGGCTGGCATGGGAAAGTGAGAGGATATGGTCTGAAAGGGCAGTACCGAAGGAGTGGTTGTAGACGCAGTCCTGGTTGGAGATACGTATTCTATGATTACAGTGACGGAATAGTTGCTAAGGCTTCATACAAGGCCATCATTCTGACCTCGTCCGTTCCGTCTTCGTCATCTCTAATCCTTTTCTCAGAACCCGTCTCGTGTTCTTGTTTTTGTCCTTCTCTCGCTCGTTCTCAACCAGAGAGTGGTGTTCAGATTGCCTCAGCCACTACGCGCCCATTCTTTGTCCTCGCCAAACTCCACATTTCCGTCTTCAATGATTCTCGTCTTGTCGCCCGTGGATTCAGGATTCACACCCCCATAGTCGCTTCCACCCACGGTCACAGACTCGTCTTCTGAAATTTCCCCTAATGTTTCTGTGTCGGCTGCTACCTCAATCACAGCTGGCTCTTGTACGGCGCGGTCGAGTTCAGCAGCCGTCGCCAGGTCGGCATGCAGCAATTTCATCAAGGCTTTTGGTATGAGATGTGGACCTTCGTGTCGCAAGTCCTCAGCTCCGTCACGGAGGTCGGAGACACTGTGGTACCCGTCGAAATGTCCACTGAGTGTCATTTCGACAGCTGCCAGTAGAGCGATGAGAGGGTCTCCGACTTCATCTGTGTCCAGGAAGGGGGCGACATCGCTCCATCTGGTGATGGTTTGCTCTATGACCTTGAGCATATCACGCTCATCCTTTTTTATGGCGTCTTCATTACTTGGACCGGTGGCTGAGAAGTCGATGAGCAGGATGTCTGGATAGCCGCGGTACCGATGGTGATGCACCGTAGGGTAGAGATTGAGCATGATGTTCGATGCCTCAACCTTCCCATGTACCAAACCCTCCTCGTGTAGGAACCATACAGCATCGATCAGGCCCACAATGATATGCGCAACGAACCAGCTGGGAATGCCGCCCTGATCATTCAGGATGTTCGCTTCGCCAAACTGCGCCAGCGTGGGACCGAAAATAGGGCGGAGACAATTGTACGAGGTGGGTGACGAGTCGACGTACTCAGCGCGTAGGACATATGAACCAATGAATAGCGAAGCTTTGTCCCTCTTACGGTGCTCATCGAACTGCGTTGCTTCATTGCGAAGCACGTCCGTGTCTTTCCTTGTCTTGACTACCACCAGCTGAGGCAGCATCCTCAAATATTGTTCCGACAGTGCAGATGTGCGGTTTTCCTGCATGCTCTTGTACAAGACGTCGCCCAGGTTCTTGTATGTCAGCAACGGCAGTTGCTGTTGGAGGCGCGCAAATCCAGACAAGGTCTTCCAAGCGTCGTGGTTCTCGATCGTGTCGTGATCAATATCTGGATCAATCTTATTTGACGGCTCGAATGGAGGGGGCAGCGCGCGCGGTAGGCAAAGGTACACTCCCGCGGAAGACTTCGGTGCTGAGAGGGTCTTGACCACGCGGAAGGAATCAGATGGGGGGCTGGGGACGGCGCCGGGGAGACGTTTTACAGAGAACGCCTGATCGAACGACGGAGCGGATGGGTCCATGTTTGTATAATAGTGGTAGAGATGTGGTAGAAGAGATGGTTGCAAAGTCGGTCGCAGAGCTGGCTGCAGAGCTGATTGCAGAGTTGACTGAGAAGACTGCCCAAATGGGAAATCACGGTGACTGTGCGCATGATCGTGTACCAGTCCAGCATACGACAGCCCCAGAGGGAAGTCATCACTGGCACTACGCGTGTGAAGGTGCTCGACGCGCTAACAACGTCACATCAGCTGGGAAACAGCGTATCATGATGAACCTCAGTGGGATATTGCGTGCACTGTTGACAGCCAGAAAGGGCACGTCGTCTGCCAATGTCTGCTTCCAAGTTCTCTCGTTAATGTGCTGCTCGTTGTATACTGCCAGGGAAGTCTCTGACCGACTCTTTCGCTAGACAAACAATGACAATGAAGATTGCAGTCAGCGTTTTCCGACGCGCGTGGAAAGGTGCGCATGGCATATATAGTGAAAGAGCTTTTTTTGGGGGTGAATACGATGAGCTGGGTTTGGGACGAAGATTGACATTCTTTGACCATGACTTCGAAAGCTACGATACTCAACATCATTTGATGTCTTGATACTCAGCACTGCTCTTCCAATTTTTCGGGTATCGCCTCGCAACGCGCCACTCCTCCGCCTTACTTCTTAACCTCTCGTACACGTTCTCTCGCCACCCACCATCACCATCTTGCTGGAAACTGAACGTCACTCCAAAAGGCCAGTACAACATGTTCTCGACTCGAGCTCCATCCTTGGACTCTAGCAGACCAATAGCGATATCGAAGATCTGCGGTCGTTTGCCAGTAGTGTAGAAGACAACTGCGGAACAGGTATTGCAGAAGTGGCGATAGACATCGGGCGAAGAGTTGTAGTACTTCAGCGTACCCACAATGGGGTCTTTCGCGTCGATGAGGGCGTTGAGGGCGTACATGTCTTTGGGGAAGTCTTTGCTACTATCCTTTCCAAAAGATATGTACTTCGTCTCTGCGTACGTCCAGTTGAAGACATCACTCCCACTTTGCAATCTGCAGCTGTCGCATCCACAGAAGCCGGCTTTGAGCTTCCTGCTGACAGGTTCGACGTTGGAGGGCAGCTCATCTACGGCCATGTGCTTGTAATCGCCACGGTGGAGGACCAGATCTACCCCGCCGCATTTGCAGCGTATCGGTACACTTTCTTCCTCTTTCACTTTGAGTTCCGGGAGAGTGGAGGATTGTGGCCAGTCTGCAGGCAACTCCTTCGCGCCAGGGCCACGACCGGCTACCACGCTTTCATAACGCTTCAGATCCTCCCCTTCGCCATTGAGAGCACAGAGCCATGGACTTGCACCTCCATCCTCCGTGTCGGCCACGAAACCCTGCCCACCGAACCTGATCAACTGGCGACCTCCAATATCCACGTTACCGAGCGCACCAGTGACCACTCCCAGATTCCTGGCCGGATCTTTGAAGGCACAGAAAACCGGGCTTGAACAGGTAGGGCAGAACAAGAGGTCGAAGCGCTCCCAGCAGCTGAACGTCTTGAGGCTGGAAATGTCGACGTTGGCGCGAGGCTCAGGCCATGATGTGAGCGAGGTGTGGAGCGAGCCGCACAGGTGCCGACAGGTCGTGCAGTGGCACACATGCCCTGGTAAGGGAAGAGCGGATGCAGGAAAGGTAGTACTGTAGTTGTGAGCGCCACAGAGACATGATGCCGTTAGATTTACGGTCTCAGTGGAAGGAGACATCGTAGGTCTCGAGATTGGAAACGATTCTGCAATCGTTGCAAGACACTCTGGCGATGATCCTGCTAGTTATAGGATATCTATAAGTTACTATCAGGATGGGTCTCCTTACTTGCTACGTTGCATGTGCTACGCCGCAAGCATGACGATGCAAAAGTGTGACCACATGCCGGCGCATGTCGAAGGGCGTGACGTTGGATTGGTCAGCGTACATATGTGGGGCTCGCATCTTCGCGTCGTACCTCGCATTCAGGCTTGGGTGCACAACGAGTTGTTGTTAGCGGCTTGGTTAATATTGACGTGGATCCTGCCGTCGGCTAGGTGACTTGAAGGATTTTTAAATCTTCACCACCCGCATGACGTCGAATAGGCCGGTCTTCTGCTTATCGGACATGCCTGCTTTCAGAAGACCAGTTGCATGTTCGCCCTCTCGACCCCGCTGGTTGCTCACGATCTTGTGTCGCCTCGCTTGAACTCAAATGTCCGGCCTGTCATACCCGAGATCCACATCTTCACGTTGCGAAAATGAGGGCCATGTAGCAGATTGGTCCCGTATGCTGATGCCCAAGGCGCATCCACGTGCCAGGAGTCCAAACAACCAGGTAGATCTGGCGCGAAAGACGTGACAACGACGATTTGTCGCTCATCTTTTGACGCTCCGAAACATTTCAGTGCTAACGCGCCACTCGGTGATGCATTGGGGCTGTTGACTGCATCCAAGAGCCACCTCAAGTCCCTTTTATGCTCCGAGTTGTGCTTGGCGACGTCCCACATCTCTATACCGGTATCCCTGTTGAATTCAGGCATCTTTCGCAGCACAGCAGGTGCGTCCGAATTCGGTATGTTACTCCACAGCGTGCAACCAAGCAGCGTAATGTTCGTACCCGGCACGTCGCTTCCCGTCTCGTATAGTATCTCCAATTTCCCCTTCAGAGAAGGCTCTCTCTCCATCTTGTGCGCCAACTGTAAGCCGTCCATCCAGCTAATGCCGTGGAACTCCAGAGGACCGAGAACCAGAAATACCTTCTCATGAAGACCACACCGTCGAATCAGAAACCACAGGTACAGCTCGTAGTCTATAAGCCTGCCAATGTTTCCAGCAAGTATCAGGAAGGGCGCCGCAGCGGGTACGTGGAACGTGAGGTATTGTGATTCGTAGTCTAAGTGGAGATCTGACAGGACCTGGAAGGAGGTCTTCGGGTTCGAGAACAGGCTAGATAGGCGTCGCAGTGTGCTCGGTAGCATCGTCGCGGTAGTGATTATATAGCAAACTAGGGGGAAATGGTGAGAATGAGCGTCGGGATGCACTCGACGACTAAAGCGCTGGTAAGGAGACTAGGAGGGCTGTCTGGATTAGAGAGAAGCTAATGAGATCACACGCATGAACGAAGCGACGGAGAGCCTGAGATACGGGAGAAAGAGCTCGTCTTGTTGTAAGGGCTGAGCGCAGCTGCGCCATGAGAACCGATCGCGGTCCGCAGCATTGCGGCGCCTGTGTTACTTTCCAACACCGTCGGAATCAAAGACGAAGAAAGTTGCGACTGTGCCCATCCTTCCAATCCTTTCGATCCCTGCGGAGATTTGCTATTGGGCGCGACGCGACTGTGCGGCGTTCTGGTGTTGGAGGTTGGTGGCTGTGAAGAGAGAGGGATCTCTAGTAGGGATTGAATTAGATTCCGTCTAGGCCGAGTCCGGATGGCGCGATTTCGGCCCGGCCCCACGTCATCTCCTTCATCCCCTTCTTACCCAGTAGCGCCAGCTTTCGCGACGGCGACGACGACGGCCTCTACAGCTCTCAATGCGTCACAATCGTCCTGCTGGTGTAGGCGCATCGTTTGTGTTCACATCTTCGGCAGCCCACAGCGCGCGGTTCTGCCTCTCAGCCTCAACCTTTCCGAGGTCCACTGGCGGATGACGGGCTTTCCTTCGCGCCATGAGCAGTCCACACCGCGACGACCACAGCTGTAACATGGAGGAACACACAAGCTGAGGTTCTCCATTTAGACAGTGCGACCTTTTACGGCGTTGTTCCTCAACGTATGCGCCAGCGCACGCCGGCTCCATCCAACCTCGCCCAGCCTCGCGGCCGATCACGTCGAGTGTTATCCGTTGCTTGAAGTAGCCCGGTACCGTCACAAGTACCGGTTGATCAGCATCCTATACCCTCGGCTGGTCATTCTGTACAATCGCATGCGATATATGCGTAGGAAGAAGTTCATGATCTCGGCTTTCATCACGCATGATGAACGATCGACATTACATCTCTGGCAGGAGGCACAGCAAACCACGTGTTTGGTATGCTGAACAAGACGCACATGCAAAGGCAGCCTCTTGCATTGGCATCAAACCATGGCTCGGTACGAAGAAGAAGCCGTTGAGTACTGTGTGTTATCCGGCTAAATGTTACTCGCCTGGCGGCGGCGCCCTGGCCTGCAGCTTACCGGTTCACTGCAGTTGTCTGCCACACGCATCACTACCTAGTCGCTCTAAAATTCATTCTCGCTCGACGCCTCTTCTCGTCTCGCTCTGCAGTGCCTTCCGCGGTGCGTCGAATACGATCGCCAGTGGTTCTGGGAGTATATGCCCAGATCTACTTTGATTGTGAGGCTGAAGCACTAATGTATCTCGGTTCCACCATCGACGGGTTGATATTGCGGTCGCAGGATCTACAGCCTGCAACCTGGGACCGACACACTGGCAGCTTCTAAGAATAGTCGTATTACCTGGAGACCATTCGACTGTTCCCTATACGAGCTCGGTATATTGCCTGCGTCTGGACTTGCCGGTCCTTTCGGCCGCCGTGTAATATCCCGCGTGTTCACTGTTATTGACAAAAGCATGAAAGCTGTTGAGAAGTAAGAGCGTACTGCGATCTACACAAAACAGCAGTATGCCGAAGCTGATGACCTTTGATACTGTGTAATTGATATGTGTTTCACAGAAGTATCCGCAAGAATAAGTATCAGTCTCAGCCCCTGCGTAGCCTAACTACTACACGAGAAAATTCCAGCTCTGCGTTCAGCTGCACGTGCAATATACTTCACGTATTACGGCAGCATTCCAAACCAATCTTCGCCTCCCGTGTTCGCGTACCCGGTAGCCAGGCACGTCTTTCTCACCACCTTGCTCAGTCTTAACCAATCATTTAGCCTCCGATCTTACCTCGTGGCTGTCAGCTCCTTCCCTTCTGGATTCTCGGCCTTTTAGATGGTCTTTCGACTTTACACCCGGATATAATACGATGAAGACGGGGTCAGAAGCTTTTGATCAGCGAGGTGAATGCCATATGGTATGACAGTATATGCAGGGTAAACAGCGGCCGTATCCATCTGCACCCTAATACCGGCGTTCTGGATGGTCAGTGGCAATTATGTCTCAATCTAAAGTATCACTGAAGCGAGATGTACATCTTAGGGTTACTCAGAGGAAGTCTATAAGAGTCTGAATCCACGCACGATCGTTTCACCCATATCAAGTCGTCCACTTTGTCACTCCATAGTTGTGCATCATCATCATCATCATCATCATCATCATCAAGCAAGATGAAAGGCTTCTCTTACTTCAGCTATGCTCTCCTGGCATGCATGCCCCTCACGGAAGCTCACCCAGGGATGGGCGATACCATGGCAGAGATGCGCCATCTCGCTGCCCGTGAAAAGCGACAAGCATCGAAAGAGCTCATCGGCGACCTGAAGACACTCGCAGACTCCAAGCTCACTGCCATCGGCAAAGACATCAAAGCGATCATCCTCGACCAGAAGTCTGCGGAGTCTGCTACCATTGATAGCTCCATCCCTGCTGGCAACATCGGTAGTGCCGCCTGCAAAGCCGACATGTGCTGTCATTGGAAGTGGCTCGCGTACGAGATGACGGCCAAGTTCAATGGTACTTCCGGTCGCTGCAGCAAGTTTGCTCGTCAAGCTGTTCGTCTGGGCTTCCATGACGCAGGCGTATGGTCTAAGAGCAGCAGCTATGGCGGTGCAGACGGCAGTATTCTCCTCAGCGACGAGATGTCGCGAACAGATAACAACGGTCTTTCTGCAATTGCCGACCAAACGAAGAAGTGGTACACCAAATACAACCAGTACGGAATGAGCATGGCGGACATCATCCAGTTTGGTGCCAACGTTGCCACTGTTGTATGTCCACTCGGACCCAGGGTCAGAACGTTCATTGGGCGTAAGGACAATAGCAAAGCTGGGCCTACCGGGCTTCTCCCTGGAGAAAAGGACACCGCGGATAAGCTCATCAAGCTCTTTCAAGACAAAACTATCGATGCACACGATCTAGTCGCGTTGGTCGGAGCGCACACTACATCGCAGCAACACTTCGTCGACACTAGCCGCGACGGCGACCCACAAGACTCGACTCCCGGTGTTTGGGACATGGCCTTCTACCCACAGACGACAAACCCCAATACACCTGTTCGTATCATCAAGTTTCAAAGCGACATCAACTTGAGCAAGGACTCGAGGACGAGCGCTTCTTGGGCGCAGTTTAGCGTTCGAGGTACTGCTCAGCCTCAATGGAATGCGGTATGACTCGCCAAACACCCGAGAAAAGGACTTAGCTAACATGTTTATGCAGGACTACGCTAAAGCCTACACACGTTTGTCTCTTCTTGGCGTCAACAACATCAACGATCTCAAAGAATGCACTAAAGTTCTGCCGGCAGAGCGCCCTACGTTTGTCAGTGAAGACCAGGTTTTGCTGGATAGATGGCTTGCGGGCGAATTCGATCAGCTCAACAATTTAGTGGACGACGCTATCCAGCTAACTGGCGTGATCTCGTCAAAGGACAAGAAGGCTTGAGTATATTTGAGTGCTCAAATCCTTCATCGGCGACTTCTACGGTCGATATAGTGTAGCAAATGCATGCCCTTACTTCTTTCATGTCTGTTCCTCATGCTTATCCTTAGTTCCTGATTCGTCACAATTTTCACGTTCACTGATGAAGTCTTGGTGAGCTTAAATGAGCCGCGCAGTCACCGCGTAAAGCTCGCCTATCAAAAGCTAGCCGGCACACGCACACACTCATAGGCCTTACTTTCCAAGGTTACTATCGAGTCTACATCATCTCCATTCTCGACACCGATACCCACATCAAGCTCATACGATGACATCCCTCCAATCCCTCAAGGACGCTCTCTTCCCCGACGGCCTCCCACCCTTCCTCGTCTGCAAGGTCTTCGCGGACCTCATCAACACACACAACATGGACCTCGAACCGAAGAACATCTGCCACGCAGATCTCAGCGCCAGCAACATCCTCCTATCACCTACAATGGAGCATGAGTTGCCTCAAGTACAGATCGTGCATCTCGAGGATGTCGCCGTCTGGGACGAGCAAGCCGTTGTCAAGCAGATCATGAATCTGCTTCAGTATCTCACAAACGGCGAATCACGCATCCCAGACGAGTTCCGCACCACCAAGAAAGGAGAGAAGCTCAAGGATAGCAAGGGAAGAAGTTTGAGGGATGGAGACAGATTGTACTCGTTCGTTGCGGGTTACGACCCACAGGGACAACTGTCGTGGAAAGACCTCAAGAGGAGGTGGAGGAATCTGGCGGATTGCTCGGCGAAGGAGCTATACGACAAGGGGAGATCGGCGGATGTCAGGGAGGCGCTTTGGAATGGAAAGGGTGCGGATGAGGAGTAGATGGGGGTGGTGGAGGACGGTGACATAGACGTCATTGTTGACGGAAGTCTGTAGATTAGTGGCGGCTGCAGAAGACATTGGTATGCATGGATAGCAATGGAAGCATGAAACCCGAGCGCGGTATACTTCAAGCTTGCCACAGACGTTATGAAGTTGCTCAATCATGTCGGCTGATGTGCTGCGAGGTCATTACCGCTGCCCATTTGTGTGATGGAGAAGTCTACAATGTGTTTGCTGAAGTCCAGATGACCAGTGCGGAATGTCCGTTTGCTTCCCACTAACCTATATGTAATCCGTACTCCCTCTTTTCAAGCGTCAGTATCTACGTTACAGAATGTCTGCTTCATCTTCCTACCAAACCATGATTCCTTACAGTGCCGACATCAAATACAAAACCCTCAAATTTTTGGGTGGAGGTATGGACGGCATTGCAGTTCTTGCAGTTCCCAAATCTGGTGAACAAAAGCTGGACTCGTGTATAGCCCTGAAGCTTTTGATTGACGACAAGACTACTTCCGTCTCCAAAGAACTGCTCATACAGCTGAAAGGTATGCAGAGCAAAGAAGACCACCTTATAGCCGCAGTG